GGCCGGGAGCAGCCTTCCGTCGTGATCCCCTGCCGTCTGCAGGAGGGGTCGTTCCCAAAGCCGGGAGTGTTCGGGAGATCTTTGTTCCACACGTCACCCGCCTGAGCCCTCTGATTCCATGTGCCCAAGGGGGTTACACACCGAGCTAGTGAGCTCCATAGACAGACTCCCTGGGCCCAGATCCTGCACTTGCTGCCCTTTTCTATGGGAGCGAAGGCAACACATTGAATGGGTTTGTTTGTGCTAATAAATAACAAATCATTTCAATTTCACTGTGAACCTCCATCGGGGAAAACTGAATTTCCTCTTCTCTGTCTCCTCTAGGACATCACAGGCACCTTGCGCAGGTAGGTGGCTCATTCTCTCTCTCTCCCTTTCACTTCCCTGTGCAGGGAAGGGATTTTAGACCCGTGACGTGGCTCCCCTGGGTCCAGCAGGGCAGAATGTGGGACTGGCTCCCAGCTGGAGAGTTGGAGTCAACTGGCAACTAGTCACTAAGCAATTGGTGTCTTGTTTCCTATCACACAGTGATCTCTGTCACTGTGCCTGGCAGACACGCCCTGCACTAAGGCCTTTGGCGTGTGCTTTGACTAGTAGCACTGTGGCAGCTCAGACCAGCCCTCAGCTCCAGAGTGGTACTCTCCCAGGGTATGTCTACACTACCCCCCTAGTTCGAACGAGGGGGGGTTATGTAGTCATACGGAGTTGCAAATGAAGCCCGGGATTTGAATTTCCCGAGCTTCATTTGCATAAAGCCAGCCAGCGCCATTTTTAAATGCCGGCTAGTTCGGACCCCATGCCACGCGGCTACACGCGGCACAAACTAGCTAGTTCGGATTAGGCTTCTAATCCGAACTAGCTGTACACCTCGTTCCAGAATTAACCTGTGGAACTCATTGCTACATGTTATTTCTGAGTTTCATAGATGCATAAAGTTGAAGGCCACAAAGGACCATTGAGATGATCACATTGATCTCTTTTATCATAGCACAGGCACCACCTTTCTCTTTCCCCTGGGACTGCCCAACTCTAGCTTTGCCTCAGGCTCTGGCCCCATTCCACCCCTATCTCCAAGATCCTGCATCTCCTCTTCCTGCCTTTGTTCCACCTCTTCCCCTTCAGCACCTCCTGCCGGCTGAGAAACAGCTGATCTCCATTGGGGAGAGGGCATGTGGGGGGCTGAACGCACCTTAGGTAGGAGCTGACTGGAGGAGTCTGAACACCTGTTATTTTTTTCCATGGATGGTCCAGCCCCTGAGCATCCACGGAGTTGATGCCTGTGTATCACAGCCCTTAAATTCCACCCAGTTATTCCCGCATTCAGCCCAGTCACTTGTATTAACTAATTCCTAGCTTGGGTTGGCTGAAGTACCTTGTGGAAGCCGTTCAGTCTTGGTTTGAAGACATCAAGAGACAACAGCAGCAACTGAAGCTCACTGCAAGTCGGGGGTGGGAGCACTGGTGCCCAAATCATTGACCTGTCTCTGTTCCATATCTTCTGCCAAGACCCTGCCCAGCGTCTTCCCCCAAGACCTCACCTCCCGCTTGCTTCTTCTCTGTCCTTCCCCCGCATTGATTGCCTGTAAGGCAGGTAGAAAGAGAGCCTAGCGCTCCCATTTCTAAAAGTGACGGGGCCATGGCCTCCCTGTTCTAGCACCTCTGTCAAGACATGGAGTATCCCTCACGTCCCTTGGCAGTTTCTTCCCATGGTTAACCCGCTGGTGGTATTTATACGCCGTGTTCAAGTGCCACAGTTCTCTCAGTGTACGGCAATTTTTAACCAACCCTCAAATGAGTTTCAGGGCTCTTCCCTGCACCCTCTCCAAGTTTTCAATGCCCATTTTAAAATGGGGGCACCAGAACTGGGTGGAGTTTTCCAGTATTGGTCTCACCAAAATGAAGGGGAAGCTGGTCATGCCCCAGCTGGTAGTGAACCTATTCATGCAGCAACGGTGCATTTAATCCTCCATGGTCTGTGGAATTACAACCACTCACTGTGATACAATTCATTTTAGTGAAACACAAACCTGAATGAACTCCATCGCAAGTAACCCGGGGTTCTTCTTCCTCAGATGTGCGAGAGAGAAGTTTTACACCCCAGCCTTTTCTTCTGATCTGAAATGGGAATCGTCTAAAAAAGCTGAATCCCTGGAAGACATAATGAAGAAACTCAAAGGTACTAAACTGTCCCTTTGGGAATTTTCTCACCTGTATCATACTGATAATTGACAGAGCGAGGGGACATAATTGTGAATGGAGACAGTCTATGAATCATTTGTAACCCATGAATTCCCTACTCAGCTCTCAATATAACACGTATGCACTGGGTTGGGGTATTAAATTCTGACTCCCTGAGGGTTTTCCTTTCGTAGCAGGTATGAACATTTACCTTATGTCTGGGTTGTTCCTGCATTCCCCAAAAGTGCAGACAATGGGGGCACATAAAGAGCTCAAAAAGAAAAAAGAAAACCTTTGCCTCTATAGGCCCTGGTAACAAACCTCCCACCCCCCTCCACCCGCCAATCATAGTACACAGATTTTGGGGAATTGCTGCCACCATTGAGTGACTTTTATCCCTAAAAAACAGGGGTGAACACTTGAAACCACCCCGAGTGGTACCCCAAGGTCTTTTGACCCAAAAGAGCTTGAAAAAAGAAAAATAAAACACACAAGCTGCAGCCTCTAGTAGCTGACTTCCCGGTCTAAGGCATGCAGATACGTACAGACAGACAGACCTTCCAGGACACAAGAATCAAATCGTCACCTTAAAAAAAGTGATTTTTATTACAAAACAAATGATAAACTTGGTAAAGTGTATTTGGTTCTTAGATGTTACAGAGCAACTAAGGAAAGCAAATTAAAAGAGAGAAAAATCTCTGGGAACAGTCTCTGGAAGGGGAGGCAGAGTTTTACACAGAGCAATTCAAACCAAACCACAAAATAAAGAAAAATTACCTGGAACGAACTAGATTCCCTTTTTCCTTTACTTCCAGTCTTCTCTATATTCAGTCCACTTCCATGCCCCGAATTCCTTGGAGGCATGATAGTCCTGCCTGGGTTTAAATCATTTTGTGTCTCTCAACACCTCAACTCCTGTCGTGGAACGAGGTGTACAGCTAGTTCGGAATAGCAAGCCTAGTCCGAACTAGCTAGTCCGTGCCGCGTGTAGCCGTGCGGCACGGAGTCCGCACTAGCGGACATTTAAAAATGGCACCAGCCGTCAATATGCTAATGAAGCCCAGGAAATTCAAATCCCGGGCTTCATTTGCAACTCCGATTGCCTACATTACCACCCTAGTTCGAACTAGGGTGGTAGTGTAGACATACCCAAAGAAAGCAGGCAAGGAATCTTATAGGTTTAAATTTCAGCACTCTGTCTTGATTGGTTCTCCTGGCTCCCTGGCCAATACCTGTGCTAGCTACCTGAATTTAATCCCTTAGTCACCAGGTACTGGTCAGCTCTCCTTCTGCCCATTACACCTT